GCGTTACGATAGGGACCTTCGGATTCTCAGCTCAACCGTCTTGCAATCTTTGTTCTGTCGAGATCGGATGTAAGTGGCATGTACGGATTTTGGATGGAGATGTTGTGCAGATTGAGATGGTTGGGTTTCCGGGTAGTGGGTATTGACACAGCAAGCTCACAACCAAGTCGACATGCAGGATCCAGAATGCGGTTGCTTCGGATGAAATGCCTCCTCGCGTTTGCAGCGGTTTACAGCTTACAGGCAGACGGACAGAATGCGAGAGGCATTCTGTGGCTCCATCACGCCGGTACACCTAGGAGATCTTGTTCCCACGGCTCGACACACCCTGCAACATGGCCATATCATGCAACTTGTATATTTCTTTAGACATGTATAGTCATATGTATGTATGTATGTATGTATGTATGTATGTATGTATGTATGTATGTATGTATGTATGTATGTATGTATATATATATATATGTGCATCTTGTATGTGTATATATATATATATGCATATGGTACTGTACTACGGGACGAATTCAGCACCACTGCTCAAATGAGACATCTAACAGCTCGCAAGGTTCCCCAGGCAGGAAGTGTACAGGCATTGCCAGCGACACTAGGAAAGAAGTACTCCCATCCCCAGGACTGAGTGTCCTGCGGACGCAGCCCCCGAACAGGGCCCGTAGGCCCCAAGCCCTGCATAGCCAAACCCCAAGATATCTAGTGGCGCGCTATCTAAGGTACACTCGCGTCCCTGCTCCTGCCCCTGCCCCTGCCCCTGCACCTGCCCCTGCACCTGCCCCTGCTCCTGCCCGTGCCCTCGAGGCTGGTTTAGACATTTTGGGGCACAGGTTTCAGGCAGCCCGCGTCTGAAACTTTCGGCAACCCCAAGGTTCAGGGTGACTTCAGGGCTTTATGGTTTTGGGGTTTAGGGATGAGGGTTTTAGGGTGTAGGAGTGTGGGGCTACACTGCCTAGAGGCTCATATCCCGCTCCTTTCTTCGGGTAGCTAGTTCTTTAGTTAGGATCTGTTTTATAGGCAAGTATAGTACATATGCCAGATCACTACATGATCATAGATGATAACTATAGACTCAGACACTTTAGATTCTAGACTCCCAGCGCAACTAGAGTATTTGTCGGAGCGGCCAGATGCAAGCAGAGAGCATACAGCATGCCACTGTCGGTGCTTTCCGGCACACTTGGAAGCTTCCTCAGTTGTTGAGGACGACGGAGACGCGTATGTCAAAGCATGCTGATTTCATACCACTTTGCGACATGTTTGCGGGCTCCTGCGTGTTCCATCCAACTCGAGCCCAATTCAAGCGTTCCCAAGTACGCCGGCTTTGTTCGCCGAAGGCCCCACCCCTCCAAGCAAGCTAAGCAAGCACTTTTTAGGCAGTCGCAGAAAACTGATCTCAGCCGTCTAGCCATGCCTGAAGCAATCGCCAATGCCAGGCTGCACCACTTGCAGCATCCAGGCACCACTTGACTGCGGGTTTGTTCCACGTGGCCGCATGTTCAGGGCGCGGGCAATGCCGAAGCCGAAACTCGAAACCCGTCCTGCCTTCAGGGCACAGGTGGCAGCAGACCAGGGCAAAGGCCGTGGTTCCATCCCGCGATTCCCGAAACGTCGAGACATGATGGCCGTGCGGTATCCTTTCTACAGGCGATGACTTCTGCTCTTCCTGGTTGACCGATAACTCATCGCGGCGCAGTGCGAAAAGAGTGGCTGCATAAGCCTTAAACTTTAAACCCTCATCAAACTTGAAACCCTTCAGCAGTTCCAATGAGTCATCCATTGCATGTGTTCCTCGGTCGTGGTTCATGTTTTTCCAAGACGACAGCTGAGTTCTTTGTTGCTTACTCGGCTCAGTCTCGGAAGTGTGGGCCTAGATCGCGACAAGTTGTGCGTAGCTGTCCGGGTTGAGACAGGCACATGTTTGTGTCTTCGGCAGTCGCTTGGTGGCTTAGTGGGTGCCCTCAGCCAGTCAGGTAGGGACAAGTGCCATGCCTCCCACGAGTCCGACAATGACTCCAGCGTCCATGTTCCGGGAGCAGGCAGTCCGGGACAGGTGGCAATTTTCTTACAATGCAGCACTAGGCTTGGCGTGGGCCATTGCGACAACGAAAATCGGGCACGACCCACCCTACCACTTGGCCGCACATTGCCGCTGGAAAATATGTGGGCAGGCCTTGCGTGGATTTGCCGCGCAGGAGCCCCGCAGGATCCAGCTACAGCATTTTCATGGAACCATCTAGCTGAAAAGCGCTTTCGATTAGAAATGCACTTTCAGTGAAGCCTCAACGCAATGAGCGCAGAAGCCAAATGGCAGAACCACGTGCTTGTCTCGCTGCAAGCGATGTTCGAAAGATTCGAGCAAGAGCTGTCCGTTCTCAAGGGAAAATTCGAGCAGGCCGTTGGCCAGGCAGTTACTGTCGTAATAATGTTCCTGCGGGTCAGCTGCTCTTGGGTTGAAATGTCGCATGGTCCTCCGGCCAGGAAGACATGGCGACACGCAGTCCGCACGACAGCAAAGCCTCCGTTCTCCCCGTTCACAAAGGAAAATTCCAGCAGGAACTGCCCGTTTTCCAGGCAGGTACTGTCATAATATCATAATAATGCTCCTGCCCAAGACGAAAGACCTCAGGAGTGAATCCAGCAGGAACTTTTTGCCCCAGATGAAAACCGTAAAGAGTGAATCCAGCAGGAACCTTTTCTTCAAAACGAAAACCCTATGCCGTGAATCCAGCGAGAGTGTTTTGCCCAGCTCGAAAACCCTGAGGAGTGAATCCAGCACGAACCTTTTACCCGGTACCCCAGACGAAAATCCTGAAACGTGAATCCAGCAGGAACCTTTTCCCCAAGACGAAAAGCCTAAGCAGTGAATCCAGCAAGAATCTTTTGTCCAGCACGAACACCCTAGGGAACTTTTTCTTTAGGGCGAAAACACCAGGAGTGAATCCAGCGAAAAGCTTTTGCCCAAGATGAAAACCCTGAGGAGTGAATCCAGCGGGAGCCGTGTGCGCGAAACATGAATGAGTGAATCCAGCAGGAACGTTTCCCCAAGAGGACAACCCGACGGAGTGAATCCAGCGAGAACCTTTTTGCCCAATGCGAAACCCTAAGGAGTAAATCCAGCAAGCCTTTTGCCCAAGACGAAAGAGGAAAAACCTGAACCCTGGAGCCGGCCAGGGGCACCGTAGCCACAGTTTTACCGTACGTAAGGGACCCTGAGTGCGCCCTAGATGCGCCAAAGCCGTGAGTGCGCCTTAAATACAAAAGTGAGTGCGCTTTAGATGGCCCTGCTGTAAGAACCTCCAAACCTCCGAACATCAGAAGCGCAATACCGTAAACAAAACCCTGAAAGGCTAACAAACTGAAGAAGCAGGTGCTAGGCACTCGCCCGGCCTGGCTCCAAGAGACGGAGACCAGGCGCGAGTGCAGACGTCTTGGGTTCAGGGCTTCTGTCGCTTGGAGAGGTTTCGAGGATTCTTGAAGGTGTTTCCATGCTAGGGTTTGGGCTTATGGAGTTTAGGTGTCGGTTTAAAGGTTCAATGCTCCTTGGGTTGAAGCGCGCTTTCTGTCGGACACATGTTCACCTTGGTACGGGCGTGTCAGTTTCTGTACCTGGGCCCAGGGTTTCCATCTCCCAGGGGCGTGACCAACACGGTCACATGGCGTTGATAACGGTTTCTGGTCGTTCTTGCGACTCGTTTGCCCCTTGTGCAGCCGTGGAGCTTTGCCGGCTATGGCTCAGCAGCCCTTAGGCAGCTTTTGGGGTTTAGTACTCAGTACCTAGGTTCTGGCTTTTGGAGCTGACAGTCTTTCTCTTTCCGGAGCGTTCAGAGTGCACTTGCGGGAACAGGGCGCACGACAAAGCCTTAGCACATCTTAGCACCGTTGCGAACCTGGCTCGCGCCTCTATGGGGTGCACTTTTTAGGGCAGCCAAGTGGCACGAGCCGCATTGGCCAGCTCCCAAGCTGATGCGTGCACTGTGAAGCTCGATGCAAATTACAAGCATTCGGATACTGAGGCGATGCAAAGAGCTCTTGCAGACGGCCCTGCGGTGGAGACAGGTCTGAGGGTCACTGCAAGACTGCAAGATCTCAAGCCCGAGCTGATATTGAAGTCAAACCTGTGCTTGGACGCTTCCGCTGGTCTGCAACATGATGCCTTGCGCCAGACCAGCTAAACCGCCCTCCGTGAACCCGGCATCAAAACCGACAGTCCACAGGAGAATCATACCGCCCATGGCGATGTTGGCAGCTTGCAAGAGTGCCTCTGGCGGCTGGGCTAGATCGGGTCTTCAGGGTGCCTCCAAGTACGGGGTGTCGCGGGGCTTCGGGATCTTGTTTCTACCAGGTGGTAAGCCATTAGTGTCGCTGCCGTGCTGCTTGGGCTCACCCAATCTTGGGATTCGGACGCTAACCCCGAACCGCTAACGCCCGTTCACTGTCCCGCCTAGGCCCTGGCATCTGCTGCGATGATGCTGCATGCCCTCCAGGCTTGCGTGAAGGTCTCAAACCACTCAAACACGGTCTGGCGGTGCCCCCGCCCAATGTTGGAGCCTATCCGCTTTCGGCAGACGCGATTTTGGGGAGGTTGGGGGTTTCGGCTGGGAGGTCAGGCTTCGGGGCGGTCCTTGGAGCAAGAAAGCTCGGACTCCCAAGCGCACAGGTAGATTGACGTAAGGCTCCTTTTGAATACTGGTGAGTGTATATAACTGTATACATTTAGGTTATTTAGAGTTTCAACATGAGGAGACGAGTAACAGACATGCGTAGCTAGATGCTGTTACGGTTCTACCTGCCTACTTGTGGAAACAATGCCTTGCCTTGACATGTTGAAGAATTTGCTTCTTCTTGGCCCACATCTGCTAGGAAGGATCTTCGCCCAATACCCTAAAATGTCCGAAATGCTGGAACACAACTAAGCAAGCCCCCAAAGTCTCAAAGCCCTTAACGGTCAAGAGGCCGGCGGGATCCTGGAGGTTCTTCCCCGGTTCAAGATGTCGGAGCCCGTGTCGAGACACTTGCAGGAGGCGGAATGTGACTCAAAACTAATATGCTTCGTGGAGTGTTGCTGCTTTCAGTGCCAAATCTATATAGGTCCGTGCACTGCATCTGCGATGAAGATCACCATTGATTGTCGACCGATCGATCTGTCAAGGGAAGACGTGAACTCTGCACTCAGAACTGCAGGCATGTCTCAGAAGCAAGTCGCCGGAATCTGACTAGGAGCGAGCCCAGCCGTCGTTTGTTGCGCCATCTGTCTAGAGTCTAGACCCGTCCGGGCTTGCATCAGCGAGTGAAGACAGAACTCAACAGCCTCTAGTTGGTCAGGCTGTCGCCATTGATGCCTTGATCGATTTACACAACAAAAGACTCCTGGCAGCACCCAGAGCTTGTGGCACTCGGTGCTTAGAGTGTAGAGGACGTGGGCGATTGGTTAAATCCGGTTGTGATTCTGGAAGGCAGAGCGCCGGTTGCTCCCACGATCTCGCCTGAAGACCTGGAGTCTGCCGAAAAGCAGTTGCTCGAGGCTGTTCGCTTAGCCTTCTGTCTTTGTCGCCACCGGTTCACCTCTGTCGAAGCGTTGTGTGCACTCTTTCTCAGCGCAAGCTTCTCTGCAAACTCCCTACCCCTGGAAGAAGCGGCAGGCAGTCAGGGGCGAATACGCAAAGGTGGGTGAGGACAGCCCCGTGGGAGTGTTTCCACATGCTCTGGAGGGTTTTTGCAGTTGCGGAGTAGCGTGCCTCAATTGAGACAGCCAGTGGTTCAACAGAGCCCTAAACTCTCTACTTGGATTCGCGAGCTGGGCATCAGGCCATTCGCCACAGGCATGCGGCAGAGATCTTCCTCAAAGACCGTGCCAACGACATCGACCTGGCCGTCTGTGAGGCAAGTGGTTCACAGAAAAATCTCGGTTGGTTTCAGCAGCACCTCAGTGCTTTTGCTGGAACTGCTACCGTTTGGTGTTCTACAGGCTGCCCCGTGACCCCTTCGTGGAAACTCTGCCGGTGAGCTAGATTAAGCTTTCTCGCAAGCAGTTAGTTTTTCAGACGAGCTGCCAACGCAAATTTGCCAGGCTGGCAGCAAGTTTTTCCAGTTCGAAGTGCTCCAAGAGCTCGTCAAAATGGGAGGATCTGCGAGCAACTTAGAACGGCTTTCGATTTTCAATTGGCGCTACTGCAACCACCACCAGCCACGGCCACCGGTACCACAAGTTGGGGTGTTCTGACAGGCTGTGTTTACATGGACAAGCTTGCTTTGCAGTGCACACATATCCCACAGTTGGTCCATGCGCAATGCACACAGCACGCTGTGCTCAAAGTCTTAGCAAGGTCAACAAGCAAGCATGTGGCCATCGTGGTGGCACCACTGTCCAAGAAGCGGCCTACTGGGGAGTTGATGAAGGACCGCGGCATGCGTTCTCGAGGTTGCTTCTGTCCGTAAATTCATGGTCGTAGTGATGGTGTCAGCAGCATAAACCCAGACTCACAGGCAGAGCCTGCAGGACTCACCCGCATCATCAAGGAGTTGGGTGGAGATCCGAGTGTGCCGAACAAGCAGGGCCTGCCGCCCGTCTACGTCGCTTGCGAAGGCCCAAATTTGAGTCGAAGCCGGACCTGAGAAGGGTTGTCCGATTCTCGCATTCATACAGTCTGGATCGAGCCTAAGTTTAGTTCCTGCTGTCTCCGAGATACTGTACCGAAAGCTTAAGCCTCAGGCGTTTGTCTGCACGCAGTTTTGTCTTATGTGGGTCAGGCGGCGGCAAACTCGAGCCTTGCCTGCAGGGAAATGTTCCGAGCTTGGAGGCCCTTCGGGTGATTCCTCGGGTGATTCCGACATGGCAGCCTCTGCGAAGAAGCACGGGCCCAAAACTCCTCAAGCACTGAGCCACAAGGAGACAAAAAAGGCATGACTGCCAGCTTCGTTCCAAAATGCCAAGGGTTTTGGAGGATGTGCTGTAAGCAGCAGCAAGTAGCTCTATCATCAGAACCCCAAGTCCAATCCAAGACCCTAGTCTGGCGATCGAATCCACGCAGGGTTCGATTCTTAGCTCGTGCCGAGGGCACCATCCACCACCTGAAGAAGAACGGTGCAGAGGTGGACTTGGAATTTTGAAGTTCAGGGACCTCACAGTCTGTGAACCTTCCCCTAACCCATTCTGAAGCAGACCACGTCTTGGGGCTGCGCTTCGACTGAGCGGGGCTTCATTTCAAGCTTTGGGGCTTGCCATGGCTTATTCAGATCACGCAGCTTTCGCGGATCTTTGAGCCGGTCTACCGTTGCCAGATGAACCAAACGATCGACGGCAAGCCCCTCGTGATGTATGCGGCAGAGCAGCAGCAGTTCCACATCACCAAGTGCCGCTGCTTCCTTTGGGTGTTAGAGGAACCGGGGGGTCTTTCAAGCATGTCCCGGAGTTCGTGGCATCTCGAAAGAAAGGCAAAGGTCGTAGTAGTTGTGCAGAGTTTGGGCTGAGACGGACCGCATCGTTGTAGCGCCAGGCTCCAAACAAGAAGCGACCTCCAGACAACTTCTTGAGCGGCATTTGGACCTGTGTTTTCGTTCCCGTGCTGCTTACGTTTCCTCGCATCGGAGTTTGTTGAATGCTTGACGGTTCAGGGTTTGAAGGGTTTCAGGGTTTGAGCCTATCCGAAGACCTATACAGAAAACGCAGAACCAATCCCGGACCGCAAGCCCTAACCGCCCTAACCCCAAGCCCGAAAGCCTAAAGCACTGAAGGTGCTTGCTCGACAACGGAGCAGACTGGCCCTGGGATGTCAAGTCCCCCAAGCTGCGGATCCGTGGCAAGGCTGCTGATCCCACATGAAGATAGCAGTAGTAGTCGTAATAAGACCAAGAATCTGTGGCCGTAACTGTCGCAGGTGTAAAAGAGCACTGGCACTATTGATGGCGGATGGCAAGGTTAGTGGTTATGGCCAGGTTACTTGTCGCAGGAATTATGGCCATCAGAGGCGTGAGAGTCGTGAGAGTACTGGCAGGACTGGCAGCATGCTTATCATAGGAGAATCGTCTAATCAGGAAGTATGGTCTTCCTACCCAATAATAGCAACAAAGAGCAGCAACAACAGTAGAGCTAGTCGGCTAGTTGCTAGAGGATTAGCACCAGCAGCAGCGATCCCAGCAACCGCGGAAGTTTGGAAATAGCCAAAATAGCAAGGCCGATGGCAGCAGTTTGAATGAGGGGGACTCATGGCGGCGGTTGCAGCCACGATAGTAAGGTTAGAAAACAAGCTGTACTTGCGGTTCGCAGCAACTGCCTAGCAGCAGTTCGACCTCTAGCAAAATCCGTGAGGAGAACGATACGGGAACAGTGAAGATCGCAAGAGCAGACCTACTATTCAGTTCAGTCCGAATATCCAGATTAGATGAAATAGCAAGAAAGGTAGGAAGCGAAACGGTAGTGGTGTCGCCGAATCGTTTTTGAGCCTGTAGACAAGAACAGGCACCACGAGGCATGGTATTGTAGTGGGGAACGACTACAGCGAGGACCGGTGATGATGATGGTGATGGTCGTGGTCGTACTCCTGCTGGTGCCGCTGCTGCTGATGATGATGATGATGATTCTGTTGGCGATGCTCGAGATGAGGATGCGGGTGGTGATGTTGCTGCTGTGGGTGATGCTGGTGATCATGCTGCTGGCATGTTGGGGTCAGCTCTCTTGTAGACTGGCACTGGCACTGGGGCATGCAGGACTATGTCATGGGAATCTCGGCGGTCCCGAAGAACGGGATTGAAGCTGCCCTCTGCACCGCCGCCAGGAACAACAGCCAATCGCAGGTAGGTTGTTGGGGGCTTTATGTTCTGTGGTGTGTGACCTCAGCTCCGTACGCAACGTGACAGCTTGCTTTGATTGCTCGTAGCCTGAGGGTTGTGGTGTTGCCTTTCCACACAGCACATGCCTCTCAAACTGGCAGAACCCTTGGAAGCAAAGCTCCGTGCAGGTGTTGAGCTACTTGGTCCTGGGAGCCGACATCGAATACCCATGGTTGCTTGGTTCGAGTTCTTAGGCCTCGTCTTCAAGGAACATGTCCACGTAGCCAAGGTGCTGGACGCCGAACCTACCTTGGTGCCTTGGACAGTCCATGCTTGTTTTCCCTTGTCCTTGTTGTGCGTCTTCAGACAGGTACACGACGCCCTTGGGCCATGCAGCGGTTCATCGTCACAAGGACTTTGAGACCAAGAGCTCAGAATGAGTGTACCGATCAGTACGACACACCACGCTTCTGCAATTATGATCAGGGTTTGGCCTGTCACCTCCTGCTCCCTCAATGTGCTGCTTCTTGGTGACCCTCGTCCTGAACTTGCTGCTTTTGTTTCCACCCGCCTGTGGCATCCTGTCTGTGGATATTGTGACCACCTAGGTCCTAGCTTCATGCGGCTCCCGCAGATGTGGAGGGGCGTCGTAGTAGAAGTATTAGGTAGTCGCTAGTAGCAGTAGTAGTACTAGTAGCAGAAGTACTAGGAGGAGTAGCGGTTCCCCCCGGTGCGAAGCCGAGGCCTATCATTTGTCAGGCTTCGTGTTGTCAGAAGTGCAGTGTTTGACAGCTTTGTATACATTAGTATCGTTGTTTGGAAAGCGCGTGGGTTGTTGCTTATCCTTTGTTGTTTTTTGTGAACCTTGCTCTTCAATCTTGCAACCAAAAAATCCAGTTTTTTGAGGTCTGGATTTTCATGCCCACAACCTAGCGATGAGAATGAAGCTTTTTGTTCAATTTTGGTGGTCTTGAGTTTATCCAAAGCGGTTGAGAACAGAGCATCCATGCCCAAAACCTAATGACGTCCATGGTCTAGTGCGCTTGAGAACAGAGCTCCACGGGCGTCTCACCAGAGGGGGAAAAGATTCCACGACACCGATGCTGCCAGTAGTGCCGATGGTAACACCAAAATGTGTTTTATTTTCCAAGGTGCTTTTGCTAAGACCGTTGTGCTTTCAGATTCTGGTGTCGGTATTGTTTCTTCGCACATATCATGATGGGGAAGCTCACAAACCGCTTCTGCCTCCGCTGATCATCATCATCGTCTTCGCTGTCAGGTTCATCATCATCGCTGCCGTCGTCAGCGCTATCATCATCACCATCTCCGTCATGCCCAGTACTACCTTCACCATCATCATTATCATCATCATC